TTGCAGATTTATCTTTGGTTGCATAAGCCTGTGCGAATCTAGTGAAATGATCCATCACCACGAGAATGTATTCGAAACCTTGCTTGCAGGTCTCCAAATGAAGAAAGTCTATCGAGATCATTTCGAATGGATATGTGGTGTGAATTGGGGTTAAAGGTGCTCGAGTTTGTCTGACTGGCTGTTTCTTTTTCAGACATTCACATACCTTGGTGACAAAGTGCTCTACGTCTTTCTGCATCCTTGGCCAGTAAAAGTGCTCTCGAATGAGGCAGAGGGACCTCTCCACACCCAGATGACCCATAGTGGTGTAGTTCAGTTAGAATCAGGGAGTGGTAAGACTTTGGCAGGAGCAACTGTTCTCTTTGCCTGGTTTTCCTACACAGTACACCATCTTCGCCCACACAGAGTTTGAACCATTGTTTCAATAGCATTGCCACATCAGGATGTTCCGCTTTCACTTCCTCTCTACTTGGCCGTTGATCTTTGTCCTTGTATTTCAGGACTTTCCCAATAATACTGTCATTCTCTTGAGCTTTTCAAATCTGGGCTGGGGTCAGTGGTGGACCCAGGTCACACTGGTCACTCTTTCTCATGAGACTCAAGGCATTGAATTGAAACAACCATGTTACATGTGAGGGATTGTCACACTCCACCACCACTCCTTCTACTGAAGCTTGAAGGACCTCTGGTTGCATTTGTTCTGTGCACTGCTCCATAAACTTGTCGATGTCCAGCGGCATGCGTGACAGACCGTCTGCATCAGCATTACTTTTACCCGGCCGGTATTTTATGGAAAAGTTCAAGTTGGCAAGCTGCGCAACCCATCTGTGTCCAGTGGCATTCAGTTTGGCGGTGGTGAGCACATATGTAAGAGGATTGTTATACGTGTAGACAACAAAGGATGGTGCATAGTACAAGTAATGACGGAAACGCTCACAAACAGCCCACTTCAGCGCCAGAAATTCAAGCTTACCAGAATGCATGTGGTAATTTTTCTCTGAGGCGCTCAGTGTTCTGGACCCGTAAGCTATCACTACCATCTTCCCATTTTGGCGTTGATACAATACTGCACCCAATCCTTCCTGGGATGCATCGCAGGGTAGCACAAAGGACTGAGTGAAATCTGGAAAACCCAGGATTGGAGGTTTTGCGAGATGATCTATCAGGTTATTAAGTGTTGCCTGATGGGTCTGTGTCCACTCAATGGGTGTCCGTGACGCCAAATTGCCTTCTTTCCTCTTCTGGGTAGGTTTTTCTTTCATCACAACCATTTCTGATCCACTTGAACCCTTTTCTCTCGCTGTCAGTAGCTGGTACAGCGGCTGAGCGATGCATGAAAAGTTGGGGATATAAGAACGGTAATAGGACAGGAACCCTAACATCTTCCTTAGGTCACCCACTGTGGACGGCGTCCTTTCCTTCAAGGCCTGCACTGGGGCAAGCTCCGCTGGGTCCATCGTATAACCTTCACCAGACACCATTTTCCTCAGGAACCTCACTTTGCATTTAAAAAGCTCACATCATCTGTCTCATTTCAGCTCTCAGCTCCTCCATGAGCTTTTAAGTGTCTGGAACCTCATTACTGACCTTTTGGTATTCTTTAGATTCCCTTCCTTTTAAAGTTCTGATGGCCATAGCCATACCTGGCTCTTTTGCTGACTGCACAGCCAGGGCAGATGAGTACTCAGTTCGTGGGTCAGTATGGAACTCATGTATGCGGGGAGGTTTACCTGCATGGAGCCTTTTCAGTTTCTCCTGCCTCTCACTGTCCAGCTTAGCAGCCTCATTCACCACTTCGATCAGCTCTTTATCCATTGTCCTGATGTTACTGAGATATGGCTGTATCTGGAACTTCAGAGAGTCACTTATTAGTCCAGTTTCAATTGAACGCAGAAATTTACGCTGGATGGTATCTCTACTATCGCCGTCATCATCGCCATCCTCAGGTTTCCATAGTAATTTCTCTTTCAATTCAATTGCTCTGAAGATAAAATTCTGAACTGACTCTCTGGGTTCTTGGGATATGTTTATGAGCTGGTGGTACAGAGCAGTTGTTCTGTCAACTCTGTAGTGGCCTTTTAAGATGGTGTATAATGACTGGAGCGTCAGACCACGCTTAATCTCCAACATATCTCTCAGGGGTAACCCTGGAGTGACAGCCCTGACCACTGCCTCTACTATTTCAGTCTCAGAGTGGCCCTTTTCTAATCCCACTTCCATCTGGCGAATTAGACTAGGGTAGGACAATTTTTCTTTTTGTCCACTTTCTCCTATCTGTCCCCAGATCTTGAATTTTCTTCTTAGAGTCACTTCGGTCAATTTCTGAGACGGTTCAATCCTCTTATCATACCTTGTTTTACTTTTAAAAGGCTTGTGACTGTCTATCATCTTTTCAGCCTTACAGTAACTTTCCTCTTCTTTTTGTGAGTCGCTAAGATGCCTTTCTTCCAGCCCTCTTACTTGAGTTGGTTTCTCTACCATCACTTCCACATCAGTGGTGCCTTGTTTTACCTCATTAATGAATGACCATAGATCTCTTAAGCACTGAATGACCTCACTTTCCCCCTCGTTCTCCTGCATCTCGTCCAACATACTTTCGATTGTCTTAAAGGTGTCATATGATGCGATTTCAATTTTTCCTTTCTCTTTGTAATGTTGCTGTTTGAGC